ATTAGTAGGAAAAGTAGGGAGTAAAATGTAAGGAATTTTCATGGAGAATATGTTATATGGGGGTGTGTTTGTAATGAATCAAAGGATATAGACGGAATTCCCAAGGAAGAGTAAGGGCAAAATGGGAATGCTTGTGCATAAATTATGTTAAAAGGAATTAAGTCATTGCAAACCCTTCATTCTTCTTCTCCATCGCCACTCTCTTTTCTTACTTCCTCTCAATTTCTCTTTCATTTGTTCAAGGATTTTTAGAGGGCTTTTGGAGTGATTTGGGGTAGAAAATCAATCTAAGGCATCCTAAGGGTAGAGAAAAGTCAAGCAAACCAAGAGAAAGGAATTGCTAGTGAGATCTCTCCATTACAAGGTAAGTAAATCCCAACCCAAGTTGAGATTTGAGAATTTTCTTGATTAGAGATTTAATAGCAATTATGTATGTATGTTATATACATGTTATATGCTATGTTGTTGAGTTTTAAATGGAGATTATTATTGCTTTGTGGTTGTTCATACACTTCAATTATGAGAAGTGAGATGTGGGTTGGAAATGTAGTTTGAGATGGAATTGAAGGATATTGAGAAATCCTTTTTGGAAGTGTTATTCTATGGCAGGAATTATGGCTATGTGAGGGAGTTTTCTCCCATTTTGGATGGTTAGAGAAAGACATAGAATTATTGTTATAGTAGAGTCTTGTTATGCACTTGAGTTGTTTGATGAAATGCGTAATAGAGGTTTGAGTATGAGTAGTGAACCTTAATTCTTGCAACATTGCATGTTGGCATTTCATAAGTGCATTAGTGGAGATGAACCATCCATATGCATTAATTGTGCATTGAGAAGTGACTTAAGAAAGAGTAGAAAACTTTGTGTATGCATTTGCTCTATGAGTAGAGAACTTTGTGAATGCAACTACTCTAAGGGTAGAGAGAATGAGAAGTGCTAGAGTAGAGTGAATGAGAAGAGTATTAAAAACGGGTTGATGCTTTGTGATCGTCACCCGATAGTTATTAGAAACGGGTTGATGCTTTGTGATCGTCACCCGAAAGTCATGAGAAACGGGTAGGTGCTTTGTGGTCTCCACCTGATAGTTATGAAAACCGGGTAGGTGCCTTGTGATCCCCACTCGGTAGTCATTAAGAGCGGGTTGGTGCTGTGTGAACTCCACCCGACAGTCATGCAAACTGAGATGGTGCTGTGTGAACACCATCCGGCCGTACCTCCGGTAAGATGAGGCCACTACACTAGTAAGAAAGTATGAGGAAAGAATTAAGAGAATTAAATACGGGGATAGACAAATAGAGGGTTTACTTACTGAGCATTATTTTGTGCTCACCTCGTTATTTTCCTTTGTGGATGCAGGATCTAGGTGATGATGTAGTCGGAGGGCGTCGGCAAGCGAGGAGCAATAGCTACACTGTTTCCCCTGTTTTTTTGTCTTTTTAAATGGCATTTTGTAAATAATGCTCTTTGTGTATAAAAGACTTATTACATATAATAAAAAGAAAACTTTTGGGCCCATTTTCTATTATTATTATGCATGCATTTTACTAGTTACAGCAGTTGTTGCATGGTCATCAGGGGGGGAAGGTTCATTTAATAACCATTGATTGCGAACGCTTGATAATGCAGTTACTAACACTGTGACAATCTCTTTATTTGAAAAGAGATTGGATCCGCGTGGTGAAGACAAATTTTTTCACCATAGATGTGCTTGCCACATCATCAATTTGATTGTTAAAGTGGGTTTAAATGTTATACATTCAAAGATGGAGAGGGTGTGCACGATTATCAGATTTATTGTCGACGGTAGCAATAAAAAATGGCAAGAGTACGTCAAATATTGTAGGCAAGAGGATCCACCGGTTCGACTTTTGAAGTTATGTATGGACATGCCTATCCGTTGGAACTCCACCTACTTGATGTTGGAAAAAGTTTTGCCAACTGTAAGACAAATTACAGATTTTATCAACCGGAAGAACCATCCAGAGGAAGTTGCCAGCTATGATGATTAGGCGGTTTGTGAACTTTTTTATTCATTTCTTAATTTTTTTTTTATGATTCCACTAATACATTAAGTGATATTTATTATCCGACTAATAATTTAGCATTAGATATTTTACTTCAAATTTCTAAAACTTTTGCTAAATATAGATATAATGATGTTTTAATGGAAATTGTTTTAAAGATGGAAGAAAAATACAAGAAATATTAGTTAGATATTCCATTCTTATATAGATTAGGCCTTGTTGTAGATCTTAGGTTTAAATTACACATAGTTAACTGTATAATTACTGAGATTAGCCAGCATTTAGGATATGATTATACTTCTTATTTGACTGACTTTAAGCAAAAATTGGAAAGCTTTTTTTCTTTATATCAGAATAGGTATAATGGAAGTGGAAGTGGAACGTCCAAGAGAGACGATTAGGACCCTGATGGAGACCTTCATCAAGGATCGAGCATGTGGACGTATATGGAACATGGCAGAAGTAACAACTTCAGCTTGTACATACATGGATCAAATGAGCTGAATCGCTACCTACAAATGGACCTGTCCTACATGATGATAAAGAAGAAACGTGAGATGGAATTGCTTCAATGGTAGAACCAACATCAAAGTCGATTCCCCATTGTAGCCCAAATGGCATGTGACATTTTATCTGTACCGGTTTCTACAATTGTATCCGAGTCAACATTTTCAACGAGTGGTTGGATTGTTGAAGACAGAAGATGCTCTTTAACCGATGAGATGATTGAAGTGATAACGTGTTTACGAGATTAGACTCATGTAGAGAGAAGACTACAACAACAGCCTGAAGATCCCGAACTACTCGAACTCTTTAGGAATATAGATTTTAATGATTTAAATATTGTTGACGATGAAGATGAATAATTTAATAAAAAAAATTATTTAATTGTTTATTTGTGAAGCGTGAATGTGTGATTGTGTGAATATTACATTCATGTTAAAATTAACCATTAATTAATTTATTATTTTTTAAAATTAATTAAACTTTTAAAAACTTACTAATCTACCCCTGAAAATTACTAAACCCCCCTACAGAATTTCATTTCGCCCCTAAATATATAAAAAAAAGATAAGGAGGGAAAAAGAAATTTTGCAGGCCCATAAGACCAGTCTGGGTCTTAAAATTGCTCATGGGCCTGAGACTGGTCCCAGGCCCATGAGCGACTGGTCCCAAAGGACCAATCCCAAACGGGCCTAAGCCCAGGCCCGCTTAGGACCGATCCTTAACCAGCTCTAGGTAGAATACATTTGGTGGAGGAAGGAGAAGAAGAAGATGATGAACATCAAGAAATTAAGGTTGGAGAATGAAAAAGAGATGTTAGAGAAACCATGCGAGTTTGAGGGTTTTGGGAAGTTGCTACTATGGTCTATGCGAATACTAGAAAAATAGAAATTTGATTCTGCAAAATGTTGTTGTTGTTCCAGAGGGTGTGTGTGGTATGGGTAGTAAAGAAGTGAAAGGAGAGACATGAACCAATCAAAAGAAAAAAAAAAAAAAAAAAATTGATATGGTTTTTTCATGTTTCTACTTTTTTCACTCTTTGTAGAATCTTCTCAATGCTTATTTTGATACCGTCCAACAATCTTTTATTATTGTTCAATTACAGGGTATTGTTATTATTAATGGGAATGTAAATTTACAATTTGTCTCTCTAACTTTTTATTAAAATAATTTTTTACACTTTTACTGGAATTTAACTAAAATTTATATACAATTTTCATATTTATAGAAAGGGTATATTGGTAATTGGTCCTGTTGCATGACATAAAATAATAATAATAAAATTATTAAATTAAATAGTAAAAGATATTTTTGTTTTTATCAGTGGGTGAAAAAGTGTATGTTTTGAAACTTGACAGGTGAGAAAGTGTCATTAGCGCAACCTTGGGTGAGAAATTGTCCTTCTCCCACCCAAATAAATAATACACAAAGAGTAATGCTACACTTACACCATTTTTATTACATTATGATGTGGCATATGCTACAACCACACAAATTCTATTACAATATTAAAAATTCAAAATAATTAAAAATTTGTGTGGTTATGACATATGCCACATCATGATGTAATGAAAATTGTGTAAAAGAGTGATGTAAGTGTAACATTACTCATACACAAAAGCATACACATAACACGAGTTTCATCTATTGGAATTTGCATTACAAATTTTATCAGTTTTATCCCTTAAAATGTATTACACCTGCCACTCTCCTTATTTATAAAACTTTACACTTTAATCCCCAAATACAATTTCCTGATTTTGTCACTATAGGCTAGGTTGTGGCTAAGAACGATGCGGGCTTGTATTCGATTCCAATGCAAGCTTGCAAGCCCTGGCTGTAGCTCATTGCGACTTGCCATGTTACGAACACAGCCTACTATGCGAAGATGCCACCATGCTCACCATCAAACTAAGATTGAAATATCAACCATCCATTATGGTTCAATATCAATGGCATCTTCAATTAAATTTTGTTAATAGTTTCTTAATTTGTAAATTTTGAGGGTTTATTAGTTGATATACGATTGGTTTAATAAATAATATCAATTTAACCAAATTATACGTGAAAGGAAATGATTAAAAAAAACCTTTTACTTGTCAAATTAAAATGACTTGTACTCAGGCGTAGGGTGCCATTATACATTTTTGAAACTTGAGGGAGATAAAGGTAAGTTTTATAATGGTTGGGGTTGTAAATTTTTTTCCTCTTAAAATTTTTAAAATTCCATCTGTAAACTGGAAATAAAATTAAATATAATATCCCAAAAAATGGGGTGGTAGATGTACTTTTACAATGCTTATTCTACACCCTTCTTTAAAAAGTAACTATTTTTATCAATGTGAGGTTATATTTAGAATTTCACACTAAACTCACTATAAATTAAACTAAGCGCCGCCACTTATTCCAAACAATAGCAACGGCCGCCTTGCCTCCCCTCCCCTCGCCACCACCCGCACCGCGTCGAGGTCCTTCAAACTCTTCTACTTACCGACGCCTCCGTCTTTTTTAGGTAACTGGAATCTCTTCTGTTACCTTATATTCAATGGTTTGAAGATTATGAACTTTGGTTTGATGAAGCTCAAAACATATTTCAAATTTCAGACTCCTTCACGATCCATTGATTTTTTTTTTTTTTTAAGAACTAATTATTTAATTTTTATTGTATCAATATTAATTGTGTTAATAGTTTTAAACTAGCTCAGTTCTGGTTCTCGCCCAATTATTTTATTTTATTTTATTGTTTTTGGTTTTGTCTTTTTTTTTTTGTTTTTTTGGTTGAGGAGAAATTAGGGTTTTTGCCGTAATTTTGTTAACATATTTGCACAGATATCCCAAATTTAACATTTGTCTTTAATTGTTTTTTTAAGTTTAGGGATCATATAAATTTTTAGTATTCTTATTGTGTATGTTATTTTTTTCGAATCCAATTTGTGTCTCATGCTTTTCCCTTTTGCTTAAAACTTTTTGCAGCTTATCCCAGCAAAGAAGGGCAAGAATTGTTGAAAATTCTTTCTTTGGCCTGATATATAAGAGGCTGAAACTAATTTTATTGAGAAAAATCCAACATGGCCACCAGATTTACCTCTCGTCTCAGATCCCAACTTGTCAATACTCTCCGACACAATCCCCGACTCCTCTTGACTCCGGCTGCCACCGTTATGGAATCTCAGCCATCAATGCACTCTTTACTGTCTGATTACCGCCACCAAATCAATGGCTATAATTCATTACGTTTCCTCTCCACTGCCCGTCGGCATCCGGTTCGGTCCAACAAGGTTGACATAGGAGCCCGAGCTCGACAGCTACAGAACCGTCGTCTCTGGACCTATGCACTGACCTTCAGCTGTATTGCTGGGTTCATAGTAATTGTCCTCAACAATTTTCAAGATCAGTTAGTTTTTTACGTGACTCCAACTGAAGCTCTTGAAAAATACCAAGAAAACCCGACAAAAACCAAGTTCAGGCTTGGCGGTTTGGTCCTTGAAGGCAGTGTGGCCCATCCGGCATCTTCTCCAGATATAGAGTTTGTAATCACTGACTTAATTACTGATGTTTTAGTTAGGTATCAGGGTTCATTACCCGATTTGTTTAGAGAGGGTCATTCAGTGATTGTGGAGGGGTTTATCAAGCCGTTTACGGAGGAGATAAAGAATGCAAAATCGGATAAGAATGTTTCGGAGAAGGCGAGAAATGGAGATTGTTATTTTGCGGCGACTGAAGTTTTGGCTAAGCATGACGAGAAGTATATGCCTCCAGAGGTTGCTGCAGCGCTTGAGAAGAATAAGAAGATAATTGAGGAGCAGCGGCGGCAGCAGGGAGTAAAAGAAGTATAGATTCAAGGGTATGATTTCATTGGCTTCAATTAATTAATATTTGATTTTGGAAGTACTCATACATGTGATTAGAATAGGGTTATTGTAACTTACAATATAATGGCCTTATCCTTCAATTCAGTTTTGGATGGTTGGGGACTGATATGAGGGTAATTTTAGATGAGGGAAGAGGGTTCACTTTGAGGCTCCTTTTTTGCTTTCTTGTTTCTGTTGTAATGCCACTTCTGTGGTCTTTTGGTCACTTTATCATTCTTTTCCCCGATAATTTTGTGGGAACTCAGATTAACATTGTTATGGTGATGAATAAATGCTATTTATGAATAGCATTTGATTTTGAAATCTTATATTGAAGGAAAATATATTATTATTGTTTGAATGTTATCTCCATACAAACTCTCCAAAAATGTAAAATTGTGAAGTTATATATATGTTTTTACATATTCTGGTATTATTTCTGCGTTATGCTTTGAGGGAGTCAGTATTTGAATTCATTGATTAGTGTTCAAACTAAGTTCCAGGTGACTTGTAAAATTCCATGACTTTGGCTTATTTAGTGATTGCCTTGAATTACTTGGTAGTAATATTCTACTATGCTGTGCTTGATGTAGGTGTAAACGTTTTAATTTATTGTACAGGCAATTTTTAATGTTGTTGAGGCTATTTTCTTGATGAGAAATTTTGGTTTGAGAGTCTACTTTGGTTAGATATGGCCAGTATTCATAATCTAAAAACTGATATCTAGTACGGCTTCTGCTGTGAGGGGGAAAACGTAGGTACTGATATCTTCCCTATTCATGCTGCCTCTACCATTTGTTTGTGCCCTTTTTTTTTGAACAATTACTTCCAAAAACTTGACATTATAAGAACTTCCCTATCTAATGAACATACAACCAATCAATAATGAAACATCATGTCAGGATTTGTGACATGAACTCGCCTTATAATAGGTTGGTTATCTCATAAGTTTGTTGTACGAAAGATTTTCTTAACATTAACATTTAAGCTCTGACATTCTATATACTACGCTTGTAACAAACGAAAATTAAAATTTTTATATCATATCACTAAATTCAATCTCAATTTCTGTTTACATGTATTCTTTATACATCTGCACTTTCCTTCTCCTTTTATTCACTCTCGCTTAGCTAGGACCTATAAGCCTCATTTACGCATCTCGAAATTGCATGTACAGAATCAGTTCGAGTCAGGTAAATATTTACCAATCCAGAAACTCATCATGCAACACACATAGTATCCATTGACAAACCTTTCCACACCAGCTAGCCGACTTGAACAAGTAAAATCAGGCTTCTGCCAGAATTCTAGGCCACGACCAGTGCTTTATCAAGCTCATTAGCATCCCATCTAAAGATAAAAAAACTTCACTTTCTCTGCTCCAACAAATCCGAGCATTCAATGCCCAAATGTTAGTTCACATTCCAGTCCATTTTGCTGTAAGCAAACTTCATTCCTGAATGCAAACCCATTGAACTCGAGAGTTCGAACCTAAATTTTCGTTTGCTTAATCTGAAACCATCCAAAGAAGCTCAGGAAAATGAACACCAGGAAGAAGTGCCATTTTTATGTAACTGGGGGCATGGTGAAGGGAACACCTGACTGGTAAAACCTGAAACAAACTCACATTGCCACGTTGCAGATGCAGCTAGGCCTAATAGACTAATATTTTTCATGCAGATTTCTTCAAATTGCGCATCTTTGATGCCTTGTAGAACTGGGGCTTTAGTTGAATTTACGCTGACAACATTAGTAATGTAAATACCCTTAACCTTAGGAACAGCTTTGGGATCCCATCTGTCATCAGGATGGTCATTAGAGCCTCTACTGAACCTTATGGGTACCTTCACTCTGTCCATTGTTATATTACTTATCTTAATGTTTGCAATATATCCCCCTCTACCTTTGTCAGTCTTTATACGCACACCGGCCGCTGAATTCCAGACATGTAAATGATCTATAGTTATATTAAAAATCCCTCCAGACATCTCACTACCTATTCCAACACCAGAGCAAGTTGGGGTGGTGCCGGAAACTCTCCTCACTATGATGTTTGAGCTTGGAAGAGCCATGGCGATGCCATACTGGTCCCATCCACTCTTTACTGCCACTAGATCATCCCCGCTCTCAATATAACAATCTTCAATACATACATTGGTGCACGAGTCTGTCATATTTAGAAAATGGAAACAACAAAAATATATGTCAATACACATTTAATAAAAAAGAAGACTGGGAGTGATGCATATCCACTACAGAACGATAAGAGAAAGACATTAGTTTACCTGGATCTATACCATCAGTATTTGGTGCATTAAGAGGAGCCAGGATTGTCATGCCTCTGATAATAACATTGCTGAAACAAATAAATCTGTCTATTAGTGGTCCAATATAAGGCATGTTCATGAAGTTACAATCAATCAATCGATAGAAAATGCACCATAATAATGATTGCTTATGTATATATAATGATTCTGTTTCACAATTATTCTATGCCGTTTCGTTTCCACAGCAAGCCTAATAGATCCCACAAGGGCGGCACAAAGTCTTATCTTCAACATTAGGTCAGAGATGGGGTCATATGACTCTTATCCTTAATTTTCTATTCAATTGTCAGATGTCCGGCAATTTTCACAACTTCGAGAGAATACTACATATTTCAACTTGCTTCTATATATTAAACAACAAAAGCTTAACTGGTCTTGCATGATAGCCGTTTAGAGTTGCATAACTCTTTGTCATGTTAGCACGCATTACCGAAGATAGAGAGAGAATTAAAACAAGAAGAGAGAATTAATAAAAACATGTCGAACCGGCAATAAACTGGATGGATAGTCCAAAAGGGAGAGTCACGGAAGGTGAGATTAGAGATGAGAATGTTATGAGAGTTCTTTAGTTCTAGGAGGTGGCCTTTGTGGGCTGCAATGGTTCTGTTCCACATAAGTCCCACAAATTTTCCCTTGACCTCAATCGTCCCATTCTGTCCTGCAAACACAAAAAAATTATTCGTATGCACTAATAAACCATTCGACTCAATTGAACCAATGGTTTACCAAATGATATATAGAAAATGTAGAGACACTCTGTGGGCTGACATAAATGCATAATTTGGTTTTAGACACTACTAAATAAGAATTTTCACTATTGGTCTTTAGAAAAGAAATGACATTCATCATAAGAATCTTCCATAGATTACCCAATGAACTACCAAACAAATTTTCAAACATATAATAATTTTCTTCATGCACATTTATTTGATGGAACCGCAATCTGAAGGAAACTAATACTGGTTGGTGAAGAAAAATAGGTCGACGGAAATTAAGTACAAAGGAAAGAAAAAACGATACAGGCAGACAATTTTCTCTGTTGGTTGGGAAGATAAATGATTGAAGGAAAGGAAAAGACAAATATCATATTAGGCAGAAGAAAGACAGAAAATATAAAATCCACTCAAGAATATAAAAATTTCAATTATATATGTGAGATGTAGACATTATTTCAACATATTAAAAGAGTCTAATGATTAGATAACCTCCTGTTTCCTATTAAAAGATACCATAATATGAAAACTAGGACTCTCATCTATCCTTTCAATTTCATGTATCAACAATACAAACGAGAAGAAAGACGAGTCTCTTCCGTCTACTTATCTTGGATAATCATCATAGGAAAAAAAAATATTCCAAGTGCATAAGCTGATACGATACAACTTTCTCGGGTGATTTTTTTTTTTTTTTTTTGGTATTAAAAATAAAGTACTCAATGAATCTTATCTTAGAAATAAGTTTCGTTCCACCACACCATAAAAAGAAGACAAAAGCTAGCATATAAAATATATTCTACGGACGAAAACAGTCTGCGAAAAAAATTATTGATCTAAGTGGATCTAAGTTATGAAGATAAGCTATTTTATTCTCCTCAACACTCAAAACAAGTCCATTAGATAGTTTTCCACAGCTAATGAATACAAGATCAATATTCAAAAGCAGAATATAATCGAAGACTTCTTTGCTTTTTTTTCTCTTCCTTTTCACTCCTTTATGATTATGAAAGCATTATAGAACATTGTTTATGCATTCAAGAATAAAATATTCAAAGCAAAAAGATTGATACCTGTAATGACAACATTGGTGAGGCCATCTCCATGAAAAGGCTAATGTCTTCCTCCTAATCTTCTCTCCCTTCCATAAGACGGTAATGGCTTATGATGGGCCATTCATTTGTGTCCTATCGATCGAAAACACAAAGATTAGAACCAACACAACAAGATTTCACTTTTACGGTCATAAAACATCAATTCGAGCTAAATTACATTAATCAGGTTGCTCCCCATTAAGATAAAGTCATAATCATCATTTCACATTGTCTGAATGTTGCAATGCAGAGACAAATGCTACCAGCACAAACAGACTCTTGATGTCACTAGAACATGAAAAATCATAATTGTGACATTTCAATCTAACCACATTAAACTGAAATATTTAACCTCTACATTACACATACACTTTATTATAAAGAGCTAGTATAGCTTATAGAGGGCAGTAACCTTACTACATTACATTACACTTATTAGAAAGTGTTAGTTAACTTTACCAATATGATAATGAATTTTTATTGAGTAATGCACATTTACATCACTATTACACTTTTTCATTACACCATGATGTAGCATATCTCACATCCACACAAATTTTTAATTATTTGAATTTTTTTAATATTAATAAAATAATTATTAATAAAATGGTGATGGTGTAATGAAAATGATGTAATGGATGGTGTAAATATAGATTACTCATTTTTATTGGGGGTCCTCTGGGTTGGCATTGAATACAGCAGAATCAACACACACCCACACCAGCCTTCTTTCCCTTTTAGGGAAAAAGTACAAAAAGGACAAAATGAGGATGAGGACCATGACTGCGTACCTACCTTCTAATGACCAAAAAATTAGTTTGATTAAGAATAATGTTACCAAATTAAATTAATACTTATCACAAAGAATATGTCAAACCAGTGAACAACTCATCTAAACTTTTTCATATAAACTTACCATTTTGAACCCTATTTGATGATTTCCCGATTCAAAATTCAACTAAAAGCCCTTCTCACAATCAGTAAAGAACTCTCAAGTCAATTGTTGAACCATAATCCAAGCGAAAAGACAAATAAAATGTTACCTTAACGAATTAAAAAAAAAAAAAAAAAATAGACGAGATTATTAAATTACAAATAATACAAAAAACAAAAACAAAATCCCAGAAGTCAGAAGCAAGAAATAAAAACGGTGATTTGATTACTGAGAGCCCAAAATGACAGCATCCTTCAGAAACAGCGGAAATACTGGTGAGATTGAGCTTCCGGTAAGCCAAGTACGGCCGGCACATTCAACTGGCGCCACCTCTATCTCCAAAACTTGCATGTACCGTACGCTCTCCGAAACGTTCGGTATCGACGTTTTCCCATCTCCGACACCTCCAAAATCCTTTCGACATCACGACTTTCCTCCTCGGCAACTCCCCCGAGAACCCGGAACGTTTCCGGATAAACAAACCACTGATCGGATCCGATGATCCATAAAAAGACTGACCCGGATGGGTACGCAGACTTTGTCTTAATTTGCAAAGAGATGATTATCGCCAGAGTCAAAAGAAGAAGAAGAAACGTTGCCATGAAGGCTTCCTAAATTTTCCTACAAGCGCATGCAATAGTTTTTCAGACCCCTAATCTTCTCTTCACTTTGCATGCATTAAAAAAAAACTTGCGAAAACAGTTTTCTGAGATACGATCCGAAACAAGAAAAGAATCGTTTTCTCCAGTTGTTTGACACGAGTAAATTGTTTATTTTATTTTTTGATGGAGGGTGGTGTTGGGAGGAAGAAAGAGATGTTGGTTCGTTGTGAGAATGAAACAGTGGTGCGTTACGTGGGAAGACCAAGGGGGTGGGCAATGCGCATAGCGCAATTTAGCATGCTTTTTATATTTTTGATTTTAAGGAGTTGATTGATGCGTGTCCGGTTTGGACATTACGAGAGAAACTTCGATCCGGTTTGTCGGGTGCAGTGAAGCGCGTAGAGGAGTTTTTGTCAATGAACATTTGACACGCGTAGGTGTGGATATTTGGAAACGTGGTCGGTGAGAAGTAGTAGAGTAGATTAGTAAAAGGTGCGAGTGAGGTAGAGGATAAATTGATGGTGTGAAGCCCACTAAGCGTGTAGCGTGCTGGTGATCTCCACGAGACAGCGGTGGAAGACGCGCGCTATTCACGGTACTCTTCTAAAATCTCCCCATCCCCATCCCCTATTTTTTATTTTATTTTTTAATCGCACTTTTTATTGTATCGAATTGAATTAAATGATGAGGGATAACTTTAAAACATATCTAAATTTAAATATTGTATAAAAAATTAAAAAGTTTTGGACATAATTATTGTGCCATGTCCAGTTAGGTATCTTAATTAAGGGGAATTTTTAGTCCCTATGGTTTTGATTCATAACAATCAAGGAGTATTTATTTTTCCAAAAAAAACATCCTTCTACTTTACCTTATCAGTATAAAACTAGACGAATAAAGGACATATTTGACTTTTATCGGTAATTAAAACTTTTTAAAACATAAAAAGTTGTGAGGGACTTGAGGTTGAATTAAATAAATAAATTTGATTAATTAATTTACATATGTTATTATAATTAAATTTCCTAAATATATGCAAGACCTTCCTCACACACTCACACTTCACCGTTAGGGTGAGAGAGAATTGATGGGTTTGGTTTATTATTTTGGATAGGATTTGAGAATAATATGGGTAGTTAAATAAGGGAGTTTACGAAGGAAATTTAAAAATTTCTAAAAAACCCCCTACTTTGCTAATTTAATTAAACACCTAATTATAAAAATTTTGTAAAATAACAAAAAACCCCCACCACCCGTAGTGCTAGATTCCGGCCACCACCCGGAATGGCTGGAAAATTGCATTACGACACAGACTGGTCGGATCTGTGTCGTAACGCATCATATGGCCTTTCTGACCAGATCCCACGGATCTGTTGGAAAAGGCCAAATTACGACCAGATGTGGTCGTCGACGCGCAAAAGTCCATTTTTACTGTCAGTGACAGCCAAAGATATGGCCGTTGTTTTCAGTCAACGATGGCCAGATATATTTTTCCCCAGATCGGTGAAGACAATTCCAATTTATGGGTGGTGAGGGTGTTTTTGTTAATTTTAAACTTTTTTTAGGGTATTTAATGAAATTAATAAACTAAAGGGTCTAAAAGTAATTAAAAATACAGTAATATTCTCAAATAATGGTCAAACAATATTGGGGAATATGATTAGGAATATGGATAAAATATGGAACCAAAACGTACCCAATAATTTATTATTTTTAATTTTATTTTTTTCGTGCCGTGCCGGTCCCGGCTTTTTAAGGCCCACGGCAAGACCCACATATTTTGGTGCCATGCTTTTTTTTGTGTCGTGTCTTGTCATGCTGCTTTTTCGTCGGTCATGCTGTGCGTGGGCCAACATGGCCCACCCTCGGCTTTATCCCCAATGTTTCTCTCACAATTTCCACCGGCCTACAATCACTGAAAAGTTTATTCATTAATTTTTCCTACCTCAAGGGGAAACAAATCAACCACCATGCATGTTGTTCAACCAGTGAAACTTTGTCTTTGGGGTTACTATACTAATCTTCATTAATTACCAAACTAGGAAGTGCTTGTCCTGCCCATCAAAATAGGCAGCAGACACACAGTTTTGTGATTTATGTGAGAGAAAAAAAGTAAAAGAAGAGTAGTAATTGAGGGTTTCAAGAGATAATTCGGATCTGGTCAATTTTCACTCTATTACAAAGTAGTAGAAACAAAGTGCAAATAGAAGGTATGGACAAAGTGCAAAAAAAACACATCAATTCAAGACAACACTCAAAAGAACAATTACATGGACACATATTTACATGGATCATCAACCTATAACAAACAATAATTACTTTATATACGGATCATATATTGATAACAAACAACATTGCACCTTATTATACCTTGATCATCTAACAGTAAATATCATATTTGTTAAAAAAACAAACCTGTTTTTTCAGGGATGGACGAAACAGCCTGTCACATGGGCCTAGTTTTTCAACAAGCTTCATAAAATCTTCACAGACAGAGATGACAAATATTTAGGTTGTATTCAAAATATTCTCCATATTCCTCTTGATAACTACCGATACTTGTGGAATGTGTTTAGTGAGTTCATCATCCAATAAATCTCTTTCAACATCACCACAAATACAAGTCTCTAAGATGTTAGATGCTCAATTCCTGTTGGAAACTCCTTCAAAAGTGGGCATGGTCCAACACAAATTCTTTTTGATTAGGCATAGAACCTTTATCTATCATCATCCATCTTAATCTCAAAAGTTATGAGTTGCAAAACTTCAAGCTTCGGAAACCAACCTTCTTTGAATCCAATTTCATCACAACACCTCACAAGATTTTGAGCCTCATAAATAGTAAGGCTTGAAGGCACATAGTATCAATGAGTTGCAAAACTTCAAGCTTCGGAAACCAACCTTCTTGAAATCCAATTTCTCATCACAACACCTCACACGGATTTTGAGCCTCAATAAATTAGGTAAGCTTGAAGGGCACTTTGGTATCAATACAGCTATTCTCCAATAAATCAATTCTATTTTAATTAGTTTTTGAAGTTCAAAAATCCAAAACGGCAGCTTTAATATTCCCTTGTAAACACAATCTTTGAAGACATTGTGGAGGAGAGGCTACTGATGATATATCAAGAATCTTCTTCAGATTTAGATTCTACAGCCAAACTTTCACATTTTCCATATTCTCAACAATAACAAACAGATCCTTCAAATCTCTATTTCAAGTTTAATGCCCAGCCTCCTCAACAGCCTTAGTGCTTAAGCTCTTCAAGAACTTCAAAGTTTACTTCCACAAAATCTAGCATCTGTAGGTTCGTAAAACCCCAAGACTCTTATGTATTTGGTACCGGTTCCGTCCTTATTGTATACAATTAGACAGCGCAAATTTTTTTTAGATTCTTGATCTCAACCGGCAGCTCAGACACAAAAGACTCCTTCAAATCTAGAGTTTCTAAGTTAAAAAGCATGCCTATAGACTTGAGAAGTTCTTTTATGTTTGTTCTTCTCAAACTTAAGTAGTGCAAATGAAAGAGCTTTCCCACTCCATCAGGAAGGTAGTCCACAGGACCATCTTCAAAATCAAGCATTTTCAGAAGCTTGAAATGGGCAAAAAGTGTACTCATGAAAGACTGAGGAAGTTTGTCTACTCTGAAAAAACAAATAGAACGATCATTGAATCCTTGATTCTTTTTAGAGCATCATCAGTACCTTTATTTATTGAAATACGACGAGATTTATGACTCAAGACTTCTCCACTTAGGTCTCGATAGAAACCCAATTCTTTAGTCTTTTTGATAAGGATTTCATGCATTAGATCATGGACTTTACATCTTCTAACTCGTCCCAAAGCCTTTCTACATGAAACTTGAACCAAACTTCTGTCAATGAGCTCTATCAAGTAATCCTCTGCAACTTGTTCAAGCGAGTAGGTTTCGCTATATTGGACAAAGCCCTCAGGTATCCATAGGCGTATTAGTCTCCCAAAATTAATTTTAAAGCCTTGTGGAAACAACGCAAAGTACAAGAGGCATGACTTGAGGTGGTGAGGGAGATCATAATAACCTTCAGATAAAACTCTGTAGCAACTTCTTAGATGGGGATTGCTTCCTAACTTTGACCCTAAACCACGAAGTAGCTTTTGCCATTTACAGACAACCTTGTTTTTGTTTGACAAAAGACCACCTACAGCCACAATTGCTAATGGTAAACCTCCACACTTTGCAGGGATTTCATGAGACAATTTCTTCAGCTCCATTGGACAAGACATGTTAAAGCCAAACGCTTTTCTACAAAACAGTTCCCATGTCTTATCTGAAGGATTGTCATGCCTCTGATAATAACATTGCTGAAACAAATAATTCTCTGTCTATTAGTGGTCCATTATAAGGCATGATCATGAAGTTACAATCGATCACTAGATGGAAAATGCACCATAATAATGATTGCTTATGTATATATAATGATTCTGTTTCACAATTATTCTATGCTGTTTCAGTTCCACAGCAAGCCTAATAGATCCCACAAGGGTGGCACAAAGTCTTATCTTCAACATTAGGTCAGAGATGGGGTCATATGACTCTTATCCTTAATTTTCTGTTCAATTGTCAGATGTCCGGCAATTTTCACAACTTAGAGAGAACACTACATATTTCAACTTGCTTCTATATATTAAACAACAAAAGCTTAACTGGTCTTGCACGATAGCCATTTAGAGTTGCTTAACTCTTTGTCATGTTAGCAAGCATTACCGAAGATAGAGAGATAATTAAAACAAGAAGAGAGAATTAATAAAAACTTGTCGAACCTGCAATAAACTGGATGGATAGTCCAAAAGGGAGAGTTACGGAAGGTGAGATTGGAGATGAGAATGTTATGAGAGTTCTTTAGTTCTAGGAGGTGGCCTCTTGTGTGCTGCAATGTTCTGTTCCACCATAAGTCCCACCACAATTTCCCTTGACCATCAATCTTCCCATTCTGTCCTGAAAATACAAAAAAATTATTCGGATGCACTTAATAAACCATTCGACTCAATTGATACCAATGGTTTACCAAATGATAAATAGAAAATGTAGATGACATACTGTGGCTGACATAAATGCATAATTTTGGTTTTAGACACTAGTAAATAAGAATTTTCACTATTGGTCATTAGAAAAGAAATGACATTCATCATTTTGGAAGTAAAAGAAACTGAATTCTAATTACAACTCATAAGAATCTTCCATAGATTACCTAATGAACTACCAAACAAATTTTCAAACATATAATAATTTTCTTCATGCACATTTATTTTATGGAACCTCAATCTGAAGGAAACTATCACTGGTTGGTTGAAGAAAAATAGGTCGACAGAATTTAAGTACGAAAGAAAGAAAAAATATACAGGCGGACAATTTTCTCTGTTTGGTTGGGAAGAGAAATGATTGAAGGAAAGGAAAATATCAAATATCCCAAAATTGGGCAGAAGAAAGACAGAAAATATAAAATCCACTAAACCGAATTATAAAAATTTCAATTCTATATGTGAGATGTAGACATTATTTCAACATATTAAAAGAGTCTAATGATTAGATTAACCTCCTGTTTCCTTATTAAAAGATACCATAATATGAAAACTAGTGACTCTCATCTATCCTTTCAATTTCATTGTATCAACCAATACAAACGAGAAGAAAGACGAGTCCTCTTCCGTCTACTTATCTTGGATAATCATCACAGGAAAAAAAAATATTCCAACACATAAGCTGATACGATACAACTTTCTCGGGTGAATTTTTTTTTTTTTTTTGGTAATTTAATAAAATAAAGTACTCAATGAATCTTATCTTAGAAATAAGTTTCGTTCCACCACACCATAAAAAGAATAGCATATATAAATATATTCTACGGACGAAACAGTCTGCGAAAAAAATTATTGATCTAAGTGGATCTAAGTTATGAAGATAAGCCTATTTTATTCTCCTCAACACTCAAAACAAGTCCATTAAGATAGTTTTCACACAGCTAATGAATACAAGATCATAATATTCAAAAGCAGAATATAATCGAAGCAATTCTTTGCTTTTTTTTCCCCTTCCTTTTCACTCCTTTATGATTATGAAAGCATTATAGAACATTGTTTATGCATTCAAGAATAAAAATATTCAAAGCAAAAAGAATTGATACCTGTAATGACAACATTGGTGAGGCCATCTCCATGAATAAGGCTAATATGTCTTCCTCCTAATCTCTCTCTCCCTCTTCCATAAGACGGTAATGGCTCTATGATGGGCCATTCATTTGTGTCCTATCGATCGAAAACACAAAGATTAGAACCAACACAACAAGATTTACACTTTTACGGTCATAAAAACATCAATTCGAGCTAAATTATTCATCTAATCAGGTTGCTCCCCATTAAGATAAAGTCAATAATCATCATTTCACATGTTTCTGAATGTTGCATATGCAGAGACAAATGCTACCAGCACAACCAAGACTCTTGATGTCACTAGCAACATGAAAAATCATAATTGTGACATTTCAATCTAACCACATTAAAACTGAAATATTTAACCTACTACATTACACATACACTTTATTATAAAGAGCTAGTATAGCTTATAGAGGGCCAGTAACCTTACTACATTACATATACACTTATTAGAAAGTGTTAGTTAACTTTACCAATATGATAATGAATTTTTATTGAGTAATGCTACATTTACATCACCTATTACACTATTTTCATTACACCATGATGTAGCATATCTCACATCCACACAAATTTTTAATTATTTTGAATTTTTTTAATATTATAATAAAATAATTATTAATAAAATGGTGATGGTGTAATGAAAATGATGTAATGGATGGTGTAAATATAGCATTACTCATTTTTATTTGGTGGGTCCTCTGGGTTGGCATTGAATATCAGCAGAATCAACACACACCCACACCAGCCTTCTTTCTCCTTTTAGGGAAAAAGTAACAAAAAGGACAAAATGAGGATGAGGACCATGACTAGCGTACCTACCTTCCTAATGACCAAATTAAACTATTAGTTATGATTAAGAATAATGTTACCAAATTAAATTAATACTTATCACAAAGAATATGTCAAACCAGTGAACAACTCATCTAAACTTTTTCATATAAACTTACCATTTTGAACCCTATTTGATGATTTCCCGATTCAAAATTTCAACTAAAAGCCCTTCTCACAATCAGTAAAGAACTCTCAAGTCAATTGTTGAACCATAATCCAAGCGAAAAGACAAAATAAAATGTTACCCTTAAACGAAATTAAAAAAAAAAAAAAAAAAATAGACCGAGATTATTAAATTACAAATAATACAAAAAAACAAAAACAAAATCCCAGAAGTCAGAAGCAATAAATCAAAAACGGTGATTTTGATTACCTGAGAGCCCAAAATGACAGCATCCTTTTCAAGAAACAGCGTGAAATTACTGGTGAGATTGAAACTTCCGGTAAGCCAAGTACCGGCCGGCACATTCAACTGGCTGCCACCTCTATCTCCAAAACCTTGCATGTACCGTACCGCTCTCCGAAACGTTTCGGTATTCGACGTTTTCCCATCTCCGACACCTCCAAAATCTTTTATCGACATCACCACTTTCCTCCTCGGCAACTCCCCCAAGAACCCGGAACACGTTTCCGGATAAAAAAACCACTGATCGGACTCCGATGATCCATAAAAAAGACTGACCCGGATGGGGTACACGGACTTTGTCGTAATTTGCAAAGAGAGAATTATCGCCAGAGTCAAAAGAAGAAGAAGAAACGGCGCCCATGAAGGCTTCCTAAATTTTCCTACAAGCGCATGCAAATTTAGTTTTTCAGACTCCATAATCTTCTCTTCACTTTGCATGCATTATATAGAAAAAAAATATAACTTCGAAAACAGTTTTCTGATACGATCCCGAAACGAGAAAAAAATCGTTCTTTCAGTTGTTTGACACGAGTAAATTTTTTTATTTTTTGATGGAGGGTGGTGTTGGGAGGAAGAAAGAGATGTTGGTTTGGTTGTGAGAATGAAACAGTGGTGTGTTACGTGAGAAAGACGAAAAAGGGGTGGGCAGTGCGCATACGGCGCAACATATCGTACTTTTTTATATTTTTGGTTTTAACTTTAAGGAGTTGACGTGTGCCAGTGTGTCCGGTTCGGACATTACGAGAGAAACTTCGATCCGGTTTGTCGGGTGCAGTGAAGCGTGTAGTGGAGTTTTTAGTCAGTGAACGTTTGACACGCGTAGGTGGTGGATTTATTTGGAAACGTGGTTGGTGAGAATTGTTTAAGAGTAGATTAGTAAAGGTGGGGAGTGAGGTAGTGGATAAATAGATGGTGTGGAGGCCTGTGTTGATGGTCTCTACGAGTAGGGGTGAGCACGGGTAGCAGGTAAAACCAAAACCAAGGGTAAGAATCAGAACCGGAACTAGAACCTACTCAGAACCTGCACTGTGCGGGTAGGTTCTGGTTCCAATTTTTTGGAACCGCTACTGTGCGGTTCCGGTTCCAGTTCTTGCATGTGGAGGAACCAGAACCTGTAAAAAGGGTACCCTGTTTGGAACCTGTAGGGGGTACCTGGTTTGGAACCTGTTTTGGAATCTGTTTGGAGCCTGTTTGGAACCTGTTTTGGAACCTATTTGGAACCTGCTTTGGAACCTGTTTTGGAACCTGTTTTGGAACTTGTTTTTAGAACCTATTTTGGAATCTGAACTATAATGAAATATTTGTAAAATGTAAATAATGGGGGAGTTTCTATTATTTTACATATAAAAAAATTTAAAATAGAAAAAGTTAAATTTTTAGAATAACCTAATTAAATAAATATACGAATACAATTATACTTATTACATATAAATTACACCATATTAAAAGCTTTAATATATTATAATACATGGTAAAGCTTGAAGGGCACTTATGGTATCAAAATCAGCTATTCTCCAATAAATCAATTCTATTTTAATTAGTTTTTGAAGTTCAAAAATCCAAAACGGCAGCAGCTCTTAATATTCCTTGTAAACACAATCTTGAAGACATTGTGGAGGAGAGGCTACTGATGATATATCAAGAATCTCTTCTTCAGATTTGATTCTACAGCCAAACTTTCAACATTTTCCATATTCTCAACAAACAAACAGATCCTTCAAATCTCTATTTCCAAGTTATGCCCAGCCTCCTCAACAGCCTTAGCTGCTTAAGCTCTTCAGAACTTCAAAGTTACTTCACAAAATCTAGCATTGTAGGTTCGTTAAAACCCCAAGACTCTTATGTATTTTGGTACCGGTTCCGTCCTTATTGTATACAATTAGACAGGCAATTTTTTTTAGATTCTTGATCTCAACCGGCAGCTCAGACACAAAGACTCCTTCAAATCTAGAGTTCTAAGTTAAAAGCATGCCTATAGACTTGAGAAGTTCTTTTATGTTTGTTCTTCTCAAACTTAAGTAGTGCAATGAAAGAGCTTTCCCATCCATCAGGAAGGTAGTCCACAGGACCATCTTCAAATCAAGCATTTTCAGAAGCTGAAATGGGCAAAAAGTGTACTCATGAAAGACTGAGGAAGTTTGTCTACTCTGAAAAAACAAATAGACGATCTTGAATCCTTGATTCTTTTAGAGCATCATCAGTACCTTATTTATTGAAATACGACGAGATTTATGACTCAAGACTTCTCCACTTAGGTCTCGATAGAAACCCAATTCTTTAGTCTTTTTGATAAGGATTTCATGCATTAGTCATGGACTTTACATTCTAACTCGTCCCAAAGCCTTTCTACATGAAACTTGAACCAAACTTCGTCAATGAGCTCTATCAAGTAACCTCTGCAACTTGTCAAGCGAGTAGGTTTCGCTATATTGGACAAAGCCCTCAGGTATCCATAGGCGTATTAGTCTCCCAAAATTAATTTTAAAGCCTGTGGAAACAACGCAAAGTACAAGAGGCAGACTTGAGGTGGTGAGGGAGATCATAATAACCTTCAGATAAAACTCTGTTGCAACTTTTAGATGGGGTTGCTTCCTAACTTTGACCCTAAACCGAAGTAGCTTTTGCCATTTACAGACAACCTTGTTTTGTTTGACAAAAGACACATACAGCCACAATTGCTAATGGTAAACCTCCACACTTTGCAGGGATTTCATGAGACAATTTCTTCAGCTCGTTGGACAAGACATGTTAAAGCAAACGCTTTCTTACAAAACAGTTCCCATGTTTATCTGAAGGATTGTCCTGCCTTGATAATAACATTGCTGAAACAAATAATTCTCTGTCTATTAGTGGTCCATTATAAGGCATGATCATGAAGTTACAATCGATCACTAGATGGAAAATGCACCATAATAATGATTGCTTATGTATATATAATGATTCTGTTTCACAATTATTCTATGCTGTTCGTTCCACAGCAAGCCTAATAGATCCCACAAGGGTGGCACAAAGTCTTATCTTCAACATTAGGTCAGAGATGGGTCATATGACTCTTATCCTTAATTTTCGTTCAATTGTCAGATGTCCGGCAATTTTCACAACTTAGAGAGAACACTACATATTTCAACTTGCTTCTATATATTAAACAACAAAAGCTTAACTGGTCTGCCGATAGCCATTTAGAGTTGCTTAACTCTTTGTCATGTTAGCAAGCATTACCGAAGATAGAGAGATAATTAAAACAAGAGAGAGAATTAATAAAAACTTGTCGAACTGCAATAAACTGGAGGATAGTCCAAAAGGGAGAGTTAGGAAGGTGAGAGGAGATGAGAATGTATGAGAGTTCTTTAGTTCTAGAGGTGGCCTCTGTGTGGCTGCAATGTTCTGTTCACATAAGTCCCACCACATTTTCCCTTGACCATCAATCTTCCCATTCTGTCCTGAAAATACAAAAAAATTATTGGATGCACTTAATAAACCATTCGACTCAATTGATACCAATGGTTTACCAAATGAAAATAGAAAATGTAGAGCATACTGTGGCTGACATAATGCATAATTTTGGTTTAGACAACTATAATAAGAATTTTCACTATGGTCATTAGAAAAAAATGACATTCATCATTTTGAAGTAAAAGAAACCGATTCTAATTACAACTCATAAGAATCTTCCATAGATTACTAACAATACTACAAACAAATTTTCAAACATATAATAATTTTTCATGCACATTTATTTTATGAACCAATATGAAGGAAACTATCACTGGTGGTTGAAGAAATAGGCAACAGAATTTAGTACGAAAGAAAGAAAAAACGATACAGGGGACAATTTTCTCTGTTTGGTTGGGAAGAGAAATGATTGAAGGAAAGGAAAAGATCAAATATCCCATAATTGGGCAGAAGAAAGATAGAAATATAAAATCCACTAAACCGAATTATAAAAATTTCAATATATATGTGAGATGTAGACATTTTTCAACGTACTAGAAAAGTCTAGATTAGATAACTCCTGTTTCCTTATTAAAAGATACTATAATATGAAAACTAGCGACTCTCATCTATCCTTTCAATTTCATGTATCAACCAATAAAAACGAGAAGAAAGACGAGTCTCTTCCGTCTACTTATCTTGGATAATCACAGGAAAAAAAACTACGATTATGAAACATTGTTTATGCATTCAAGCAAAAAGAATTGATACCTGTAATGACAACATTGGTGAGGCCATCTCCATGAATAAGGCTAATATGTCTTCTCTAATCTCTCTCTCCCTCTTCCATAAGACGGCAATGGCTCTATGATGGGCCATTCATCGTGTCTATGATCGAAAACACAAAGATTAGAACCAACACAACAAGATTTACACTTTTACGGTCATAAAAACATCAATTCGAGCTATATTATTAATCTAATCAGGTTGCTCCATTAAGATAAAGTCAATAGTCATCATTTCACATGTTTCTGAATGTTGCATAGGCAGAGACAATGTACCAGCACAACCAAGAATCTTGATGTCACTAGCAACATGAAAAATCATAATTATGACATCTATCTAACGACATTAAAACCGAAATATTTAACCATACATATACACATACACTTTTTATAAAGAGCTAGTATAGCTTATACAGGGCCAGTAACCTTACTACATTAGATATACACTTATTAGAAAATGCTAGTTAACTTTACCAATATGATTATGAATTTTTAGTCCCTATGGTTTTGATTCAATAACAATCAAGGACGTATTTATTTTTCCCAAAAGAAAACATCCTTCTACTTTACCTCTATCAGTATAAAACTAGACGAATAAAGGACATATTTGACTTTTAATCGGTAATTAAAACTTTTTAAAACATAAAAAGTTGTAAGGGACTTGAGGTTGAATTAAATTTTTTATTAAATAAATAAATTTGATTAATTAATTTACATAATGTTATTATAATTAAATTTCCTAAATATATGCAAGACCTTCCTCACACCATCACCACTTCACCGTTAGGGTGAGAGAGAATTTGATGGGTTTGGTTTATTATTTTGGATAAGATTTTGGGAATAATATTGGGTAGTTAAATAAGGGAGTATTACGAAGTAAAATTTAAAAATTTTAAAAAAACCCCCTATTTTTGCTAATTTAATTAAACACCCTAATATATAAAATTTTTGTAAAATAATAAAAACACCCCCACCACCTGCAGTGCCAGATTCCGACCACCACCACCGGAATCTGGCTAGAAAATTACGTTACGACACAGACTAGTCGGATCTATGTCGTAACGCATCAATACGGCTTTTTCTGACCAGATCCACCACGGAAAAGGCCAGATCTACGGCCAGATGTGGTCGTCGACGGCCGCAAAAGTCCATTTTTGGCTGTCAGCGACGGCCAAAGATATGGCCGTCGTTTTCGGTCAACGATGGCCAGATATGGTTTTTTCCGACCAGATCGGTGAATTACTGGCCAGTTGCAGTTTATGGGTGGTAGGGATGTTTTTGCTAATTTTTAAACTTTTTTTAGGGTATTTAATGAAATTAATAAAGTTAATGGGTCTAAAAGTAATTAAAAAATACAGTAATATTTCTCAAATAATGTGCCAAACAATATTTGGGGAATAGGATTGGGAATATGGATAATAATATGGAACCAAACGCACCCAATAATTTTATTTTTTTCGTGCCATGCCGGTCTACGGACTTTTTTTTAAGGCCCACGGCACGACCCACATATTTTGGTGCCATGCTTTTTTTCGTGTCATGTCTTGTCATGCTATGCTTTTTTCGTGCTGTGCCGTGGGCCAACATGGCCCACCCTCGACTCTATCCCCAATGTTCTCTCCACAATTTCCACCGGCCATCAATCACTGAAAAGTTTATTCATTTAATTTTTCCTACCTCAAGGGGAAACAAATCAACCACCATGCATGTTGTTCAACCAGTAAAACTTTGTCTTTGGGGTTACTATTTACTAATCTTCATTAATTACCAAACTAGGAAGAGCTTGTCCTGCCCATCAAAATAGGCAGCAGACACACAAGTTTTGTGATTTATGTGAGAGAAAAACAAGTAAAAGAAGAGTAGTAATTGAGGGTTTCAAGAGATAATTCGGATCTGGTCAATTTTCACTCTATTTACAAAGTAGTAGAAACAAAGTGCAAATAGAAGGTATGGACAAAGTGCAAATAAAAACACATCAATTTCACAGACAACACTCAAAAGAACAATTACATAGTACACAACATATTACATGCTGATCATCATACCTATAACAAACAATATCTTACATTTATACACGGATCATCATATTGATAACAAACAACATTGCACCATTATTATACCTTGATCATCTAACAGTAAATATCATATTTGTTAAGAAATACAAACCTGTTTTTTCAGGGAATTGGACGAAACAGCCTGTCACATGGGCCTAGTTTTTCAACAAGCTTCATAAAATCTTCACATGACAGAGATGACAAATATTTAGCGTTGTATTCAAAATATTCTCCATATTCCTCTTGATAACCTACCGATACTTGTGGAATGTGTTTAGTGAGTTCATCATCCAATAAATCTCTTTCAACATCACCACAAATACAAGTCTCTTAAGATATGTTAGATGCTCAATTCCTGTTGGAAACTCCTTCAAAAGTGGGCATGGTCCAATCACAAATTCTTTTAGATTAGGCATAGAACCTTTATCTATCATCATCCATCTTAATCCTCAAAAGTTAATGAGTTGCAAAACTTCAAGCTTCGGAAACCAACCTTCTTTGAAATCCAATTTCTCATCACAACACCTCACACGGATTTTGAGCCTCAATAAATTCTGATTTTGTCACTATAGGCTAGGTTGTGGCTAAGAACGATGCGGGCTTGTATTCGATTCCATGCAATCTGCAAGCCCTGGCTGTAGCTCATTGCGACTTGCCATGTTACGAACACGCCTACTATGCAAGATGCCACCATGCTCACCATCAAACTAAATTGAAATATCAACCATCCATTATGGTTCAATATCAATGGCATCTTCAATTAAATTTTGTTATAGTTTCATATTTGTAAATTTTGAGGGTTTATTAGTTGATATACGATTGGTTTAATAATAATATCAATTTAACCAAATTTGCGTGAAAGGAAATGATTAAAAAAAACCTTTTACTTGTCAAATTAAAATGACTTGTACTCAGGCGTAGGGTGCCATTATACATTTTTGAAACTTGAGGGGAGAAATGGTTTTTTAAATGGTTGGGGTGTAAATTTTTCCTCTTAAAATTTTTAAAATTCCATCTGTAAACTGGAAATAAAATAAATATATCCCAAAAAATGGGGTGGTAGATGTACTTTACAATGCTTATTCCACACCTATTAAAAAAGTAACTATTTTTATTAATGTGAGGTTATATTTGAAATTTCACACTAAACTCACTATAAATTAAACTAAGCGCCGCCACTTATTCCAAACAATAGCAACGGCCGCCTTGCCTCCCTCCCCTCGCCACCACCCGCACCGCTTCGAGGTCCTTCAAACTCTTCTACGTACCGACGCCTCCGTCTTTTTTAGGTAACTGGAACTCTTCTGTTACCTTTATTCATGGTTTGAAGATTTGAACTTTGGTTTGATGAAGCTCAAAACATATTTCAAATTTCAGACTCCTTCACGTCCATGATTTTTTTTTTTTTTTTAAGAACTAATTATTTAATTTTTATTGTATCAATATTAATTGTGTTAATAGTTTTAAACTAGCTCAGTTCGGTTCTCGCCCATTATTTTATTTTTTTTTTGTTTTTGGTTTTGTCTTTTTTTTTTTTTTTTTTTTGTTGAGGAGAAATTAGGGTTTTTGCCGTAATTTTGTTAACATATTTGCACAGATATCCCAAATTTAACATTTGTCTTTAATTGTTTTTTTAAGTTTGGGATCATATAAATTTTTAGTATTCTTATTGTGTATGTTATTTTTTTCGAATCCAATTTGTGTCTCATGCTTTTCCCTTTTGCTTAAACTTTTTGCAGCTTATCCCAGCAAAGAAGGGCAAGAATTGTTGAAAATTCTTTCTTTGGCCTGATATATAAGAGGCTGAAACTAATTTATTGAGAAAAATCCAACATGGCCACCAGATTTACCTCTCGTCTCAGATCCCAACTTGTCAATACTCTCCGACACATCCCGACTCCTCTTGACTCCGGCTGCCACCGTTATGGAATCTCAGCCATCAATGCACTCTTTACTGTCTGATTACCGCCACCATCAATGGCTATAATTCATTACGTTTCCTCTCCACTGCCCGTCGGCATCCGTTCGGTCCAACAAGGTTGACATAGGAGCCCGAGCTCGACAGCTACAGAACCGTCGTCTCTGGACCTATGCACTGACCTTCAGCTGTATTGCTGGGTTCATAGTAATTGTCCTCAACAATTTCAAGATCAGTTAGTTTTTACGTGACTCCAACTGAAGCTCTTGAAAATACCAAGAAAACCCGACAAAAACCAATTCAGGCTTGGCGGTTTGGTCCTTGAAGGCAGTGTGGCCCATCCGGCATCTTCTCCAGATTAGAGTTTGTAATCACTGACTAATTACTGATGTTTAGTTAGGTATCAGGGTTCATTACCCGATTTGTTTAGAGAGGGTCTTCAGTGATTGTGGAGGGTTTATCAAGCCGTTTACGGAGGAGATAAGAATGCGAAATCGGATAAGAATGTTTCGGAGAAGGCGAGAATGGAGATTGTTATTTTGCGGCGACTGAGTTTTGGCTAACATGACGAAGTATATGCCTCCAGAGGTTGCTGCAGCGCTTGAGAAGAATAAGAAGATAATTGAGGAGCGCGGCGCAGCAGGGAGTAAAGAAGTATAGATTTCAAGGGTATGATTTCATTGGCTTCAATTAATTAATATTTGATTTTGGAAGTACTCATACATGTGATTAGAATAGGGTTATTGTAACTTACAATATAATGGCCTTATCCTTCAATTCAGTTTTGGATGGTTGGGGACTGATTGAGGGTAATTTTAGATGAGGGAAGAGGGTTCACTTTGAGGCTTCTTTTTTGCTTTCTTGTTTCTGTTGTAATGCCACTTCTGTGGTCTTTTGGTCACTTTATCATTCTTTTCCCCGATATTTTGTGGGAACTCAGATTAGCATTGTTATGGTGATGAATAAATGCTATTTATGAATAGCATTTGATTTTGAAATCTTATATTGAAGAAAATATTTATTATTGTTTGAATGTTATCTCCATACAAACTCTCCAAAATGTTAAATTGGAAGTTATATATATGTTTTTACATATTCTGGTATTATTTCTGCGTTATGCTTTGAGGGAGTCAGTATTTGATTCATTGATTAGTGTTCAAACTAGTTCCAGGTACGTAAAATTCCATGACTTTGGCTTTTTAGTGATTGCCTTGAATTACTTGGTAGTATATTCTACTATGCTGTGCTTGATGTAGTGTAACGTTTTAATTTATTGTACGGCATTTAAGTTGTTGAGGCTATTTTCTTGATGAAATTTTGGTTTGAGAGTCTACTTTGGTTAGATATGGCCAGTATTCATAATCTAAAAACTGATATCTAGTACGGCTTCTCTGTGAGGGGGAAAACGTAGGTACTGATATCTTCCCTATCATGCTGCCTCTACCATTTTTTGTGCCCTTTTTTTTTGAACAATTACTTCCAAAAACTTGACATTATAAGAACTTCCCTATCTAATGAACATACAACCATCAATAATGAAACATCATGTCAGGATTTGTGACATGAACTCGCCTTAATAGGTTGGTTATCTCATAAGTTTGTTGTACGAAGATTTTCTTAACATTAACATTTAGCTCTGACATTCTATATACTACGCTTGTAACAAACGAAAATTAAAATTTTTATATCATATCACTAAATTCAATCTCAATTTCTGTTTACATGTATTCTTTATACATCTGCACTTTCCTTCTCCTTTATTCACTCTCGCTTAGCTAGGACCTTAAGCCTCATTACGCATCTCGAAATTGCATGTACAGAATCAGTTCGAGTCAGGAAATATTTACCAATCCAGAAACTCATCATGCAACACACATAGTATCCATTGACAAACCTTTCCACACCAGCTAGCCGACTTGAACAAGTAAAATCAGGCTTCTGCCAGAATTCTAGGCCACGACCAGTGCTTTATCAAGCTCATTAGCATCCCATCTAAAGATAAAAAAACTTCACTTTCTCTGCTCCAACAAATCCGAGCATTCAATGCCCAAATGTTAGTTACCTTCCAGTCCATTTTGCTGTAAGCAAACTTCATTCTGAATGCAAACCCATTGAACTCGAGAGTTCGAACCTAAATTTTCGTTTGCTTAATCTGAAACCATCCAAAGAAGCTCAGGAAAATGAACACCAGGAAGAAGTGCCATTTTTATGTAACTGGGGGCATGGTGAAGGGAACACCTGACTGGTAAAACCTGAAACAAACTCACATTGCCACGTTGCAGATGCAGCTAGGCCTAATAGACTAAATTTTTCATGCAGATTTCTTCAAATTGCGCATCTTTATGCCTTGTAGAACTGGGGCTTTAGTTGAATTTACGCTGACAACTTAGTATGTAAATACCCTTAACCTTAGGAACAGCTTTGGGATCCCATCTGTCATCAGGATGGTCATTAGAGCCTCTACTGAACCTTATGGGTACCTTCACTCTGTCCATGGTTATATTACTTATCTTAAGTTTGCAATATATCCCCCTCTACCTTGTCAGTCTTTATACGCACACCGGCCGCTGAATTCCAGACATGTAAATGATCTAGTTATATTAAAAATCCCTCCAGACATCTCACTACCTATTCCAACACCAGAGCAAGTTGGGGTGGTGCCGGAAACTCTCCTCACTATGATGTTTGAGCTTGGAAGAGCCATGGCGATGCCATACTGGTCCCATCCACTCTTTACTGCCACTAGATCATCCCCGCTCTCATATAACAATCTTCAATACATACATTGGTGCACGAGTCTGTCATATTTAGAAAATGGAAACAACAAAAATATATGTCAATACACATTTAATAAAAAGAAGACTGGGAGTGATGCATATCCACTACAAACGATAAGAGAAAGACATTAGTTTACCTATCTATACCATCAGTATTTGGTGCATTAAGAGGAGCCAGGATTGTCATGCCTCTGATAATAACATTGCTGAAACAATAAATCTGTCTATTGTGGTCCAATATAAGCATGTTCATGAATTTACAATAAATCACTAGATAGAAAATGCACCATAATAATGATTGCTTATGTATTATAATGATTCTGTTTCACAATTATTCTATGCCGTTTCGGTTCCACAGCAAGCCTAATAGATCCCGCAAGGGCGGCACAAAGTCTTATCTTCAACATTAGGTCAGAGATGGGTCATATGACTCTTATCCTTAATTTTC